TGTAAAGCCCAAGCCAGTGGATGCTATGGACCCTGCCACTCTTATAGCAGAGGCTCTGAAAAAGAAATTTGCTTATCGGCATCGAAACAATAGTCCAGGTGAAACTGAAAAAGGAGTTGCAAAGTCTGAGTCAGAGGCTACCTCAGAGACAGCTTTGTTTGGGCCACATATGTTGAAGTCTACAGGGAAAATGAAGGCTTTAATTGAAAATGTTTCAAACTCTTAAAGGACAATGAGCTGAGAAAGACTGTCCTGATTTAGCTGTTGGTTTGTGAGGGCTGTTTTAGCTAGTAGAAATCAACACTATTTAGTAAATACCTGACTTCAGAATTCCTTGGTCTCCTTTTTAACCTAATTAGTGGATTATGTACTAGTGAAAGCACCGTAAGTTTGGTTTTGCTTTTATGAGATGGTCAGTTCTGGAACTTCCCTTAACATACATGTATTTTGACATGTTTAATCTATAGCCAAGGTATTCAGGGTTCCAGGCTTGAAAACGTTTGTAAGATTTCAGAACATAGAAAAAGATATTTGTGGATGTTACTGTGCATTTTTAATTCTTAACACTAATTTATCTGTACAGGTGTTTTATAGGCATGTGTTTGGATATAGAAGTTGATGTAAAAGTTAGTAATGAATGCTGGCCATGAGGGTACTGCTGTCTTCCCTTGTATTCAGTGAACATTTACTGAGTCGTGAGGAAACAGCTGATATAACCAAGTTACTGTGAAATATTTGAGATTGAAGTCTTGTCTTGAGCAGAACTTCTATCTTAGATTCTCTCTCCCAGTTTTTTGGAGCTGAGTTTTACATAGGAACTGGAGGATGTTCACTTCTGAAATCCCAATGCTTCCTGTTAGGACGAAGATGAGGACTAGGAAAGCTACTTACCCCTCAGTGCCATCCATTGTTGATGGGCTTTTCAAGTAGTGACAAATCAAATTATTAAATTACTTAAGTAAAAACCAGAATGTACCATCTTTTTCTTTTCAGTTTAATAAATGGCATCATAAAAAAAAAACTTCTGGGTAGGGAGAAGAGGGAAAAACTGGGAGAGAGTGAGGGTAAGGGAGACATTGTTAAAAAAGAAATGTATTCTTGCTGGGCACAGATGGTTCACACTTACAATCCTAGCTACTCAGAAGGCTGAGATCTGAGGATCACGGTTCAAAGCCAGCCTGGGCAGAAAAGTCCATGAGACTCTTATCTCCAATTAATCACAGAAAAATCTTGAAGTGGTACTGTGGTTTAAGTGATAGAGTCTTGAGCAAAAAGGAGCTCAGGGACGGTGCCTAGGCCTAGAGTTCAAGCCTTAGGACTGGCTTAAAAAAAAAAAAAAAGACCTGGCCTCTTATTCTGACTTATATAACTGTAAGCCCTGTATACATCATCTTTACAATAACAATTAAAATGTGTTAAAAAGTTTGTCTTTCAGGGCAATTTTATATGTAAATGTAACAAAAACAAGTAGAATAGGGTTCCTATTTTTGTCCCTATTAACACCTTGTATTCGCATGGTACTTATTACAGTATTGATACATTATTATCAACTAAATTCTGCAATATGAATTTTATTATACTGTTGTTTGGTTATTTTGAAAGAAGGTTTTGTTGAGCCTATACCTATAATCCTTCCAAGTGGGAGGCAGAGGAATAGAGGTGTGTGTGTGTGTTACTAGGCCTGAGTCATTAGAGTTCACTCATAGTGTTACACAGTTCTTTGATTTCTGGAAAATGTATACTGTCATATATTTCACATTACAGAATCATACAGGATAGTGCCACTGTCCTAGGAACCCCCTTTCCTCCCCTTTCCTCTTCTCCCTTCTCCTTCCTTCCATCCTAAGTCCTTGACCACCACAAATCTCTTATTCTCTCTCTAGTTTTGCCTATTCTAGAATGTCAAATAGAATCATATAGAATGTAGCCTTTTCAGATTGGATTCTTTCACTTAACAATTTCTATTTTAAATTTCTTCCACGTCATTTCATGGCTTAATAAGTCATTTTAATTGTTGAAGAGTATTTCGTTAGATGGATGTCACAGTTTATCTTCTCCTCTATTGATGGGCATTTTGGTTGCTTCTAGATTTTTGGCAACTGTGATTAAAGGTGCCATAAATATATAACTCACTCGAGTCAATTGGGTAAATACTGGGAGCATGTTTACAAGAAATAATGACTTTGACCTTTATTTGTGTGCATATTTTGGAATTTCATTCTTTTCTAGCCCTGAATTATATTCCATCATCTGCATGTACCACTCCCTATTTATTCATGTACTAGTTGATAGATACATGGCTTGTTCCACTTCCTGGCTACAGTAAATAAATAGAGCTGCTATGAACATCTGTGATCAAGTCTTGGTGCAGACGCATGTTTTCATTTCAGCTATGTAGATACCTAGGAGTGGAACTGAGGGGGGTATGTGACAAATTTATGCTTAGCCTCTTAGGAAATTATCATACCATTTTCCAGAGTAGCTATACTCTTTTCCATTCCCATCAGCCATATTTAAATGTTGCATTTCCTGTTTCTTAACATCCTAACCAAGTTTTATTGTCTATTCTGTTAAAATATGCATCTAGTGAATGAGTAGTGGTATCTCATGGTATTTTGTTGTAACTTCTGTACTAGGATTTGAACTTTGAATTCAGGGCCTTACACTTCCTAGACAGATGCTCTACCACTTGACCCATTCCCTCATCTCTCTTTTAATTTAGTTATTTTTTAGATAGAGTACAGAGTCTTGAGTTTTGCTGAGGGTAAGCCTTGGACCTCAATCCTCCTTCCTGAAACTCCTGAATTGATGGGAATTAAGTACATATCCTCCCCCCACACACATACATAGCTTCACCATTAAGATGAGGTCTCAAAGTTTTTGCCTTAAACTATGATCCTTCCAACCATATCTGAGATTATAAGTCCCAGACTTTTCATGGTGGTTCAAATTTGCATTTCCCTAAAGATGAATGATACTAACAATTTTCTCATGTGTTTATTAGCCAATTATATATTTTCTTTGATGAAATATCTATTCAGATCTTTCATCCATTTCTAAATTGGGTTGTCTGTCTTCATATTTTTGTTTCTAGAGGTTGAATACAGGGCCTAGCAAGAACTTTACCACTTGAGCTATACAATTAGTCCTTTTGTTTCTATTTTGTTTTTGAGACTTTTGCAAACTTTATCCAGATTTGCTTAAGCTTTCTACCTCTGACTCCCTACTAGCTGGGATTAGAGGCATATGTTTCCACGCCCAGCTGATTGTTTGCCTTCCTATAGTTGAGTAGCTCTTTCTACATCCAGTTATAAGACTTATTTGCAAATATTTTCTCATACTCTGTGGCTCATCTTTTCATTTGCATAATGAAGTTTTAAATTTTGATGAAGTACAAGTTATCAAATTTGGTTTATAGATCATGTATTTGTTGTTAAGAAACAAACCTATCCAATATCTCAGTGATTTTCTGCCTCAATAATTTTCTCCTGTGTCTTCATCTAAAGAATTCATAGTTTTATCACCTACATTTAGGTCTCATTCATTTGGAGGCAATTTTTGTGTATGGTATGTGGAAATCAAATTGTCTTGGCAGCATTTAAAAATCTTATATGGTTTCATAGATTTGAAACCAAACTTTTTCAAACTTTATTTTTAAAAACTATTCTTTCTGGGGCTGGGAAGTTGGCTCAGTGGTAGAGGGCTTGCCTTGCATGCACGAGGCCACAAGTTTGATTCTTCACCACCACATAAGCATAAAAGGCCAGACGTGGCCTTGAACTTACTATGTAGCCTAGGATAGCCATAAATTTGTGATCCTCCTGCCTCTGTTTCCTGAGTACTGGGATTAGAGGCATGCACTAACTACCATGCCTTGTTTCAGTATTTCATCTTAATACACTAAAAACTTAATGGGACTTCAAGGCTTCTCTTTCTGCCATTTTCTACCTTACTAGCTACATCCTAGCTTAAGGATATGGCATGCATGTAGTCCATCCTCACTTTTATACACATGGCAGGCTCTACTAATGGGTAATTACTTTCTCATTAAGCCAAGATGAAGCATCAGATTTTTTTTGGCAGTCCTAGAATTGAACTCAAGTCCTAGTGCTTGGTAGCCAAGTGCTCCACCATAGTTTTTCTTTGGCTAGAATAAACTATATTTCACCACCATACTTCTATCTCCACCTCCTGAGTGGCTGGGATTATAGATGTATGCCACTTTCACATTTGGCCTAGAATCTCTTTTAATGTGGCCCTTATGCAGGCCTGGCCCAAGAATGGCAGTGGGGGGGGGTACTAGAAGGGGTGGCTTCAAGAATTATTTTAAGAGGTACAATCATCAAGATGTGGAGATCATGGTAGCTACTATAACCTCATGGAGATGTAACATATTCCTAGTTCCCATAGCTGAGCCACTCTGGGCTCAATGGTCCTGCAACCAAGCCATTTCAAAATTCCATAGCCCAGCACATAAGTATTCACCCTAGAATGTCACACTCTCCACATTCTGCCTGTCAACTCCTTTTCCCATGTCTCACCATAGCTCAAATGGGCACTACCATGAAGTCTTTCCCCAGGCCTCCATGTGGATGAGCTATTTCCTGCATGTGTTCTGCCAGTTCTGCCCTCTCTCACAGCATTAATATACCACACAACACTACATTTATCTCTTCATGGGCTGCTCTGTCTAATCACAAGTTGAGAGCATCTTAAGATCATGCCACATATCTTCATTTTCTCTGCAATTCTAGTGTCTAGCAGTATCCAGGACATAACAAGTTGTCAGTGTGACAAATCTTGAGGAGGAGAAAATCATTGCAGGTAATACCATTGACCCAGACAAAAGTTTGCTATAGCATTCTTGACTTAAACAACTTCTCTATACATCCCACTGCCAATCTTAAATCAGACTCAAATCTTTTGTACCCCGTATTAGTGTCATAACCTACTTGATCCCTTATATTAGCTCCTTCTTTCAACAAACACCTACAGAATATCTACTGCATGTTTTCTGTTCTAAGCACTGAGACCAAACATGTGTCCCCTGGAGCTTGTTTTCTAGGAGGGGCAAACACAGCCATCATAATGAAACATTTGTATGCAGCTCTGACCATGCCACTCTTCAGAACATTCATTAGCTCCCCATTGTTTCCAATCTAAAACATGGAACATGGCACCAGCAATACTGACACTTGTTACCACCAGGTCTTTTTATTTTTTTAATTTTGTTATCCTTTTTTTAAATAAGTTTTTTTATTGTGAAAATACTGTACAGAGGGGTTACAATCACATGACCAAGGCAATGAGTACATTTCTTATCAAGCATTGTTGCCTCCTCCTTTGTTTTTCCCCTACCATCCCTTCCCTCCCATCTCCACAACTACATTCTCCCCCTCCCACCCAACACCTGCCTAAATTGTGAAGTTCGTTTTTTGACATAGTGTCTTGTACATGTCTTTGTTGCAATGGGTCAACCTGTATCCCTATTTAAACAATTTGTTTTTTCCCTTCCGCTCCCCAAATTATACCAACATCAAATACAGTGAAAACAGGGGTTATACCGTGGGGGAGGGACATACAAAGCAACAAAAGAAATTACATGGTACCTTAAAAGTATGTTAGAAACAATAGCAAGAAAAAAAAAACAACTTGTGTCCTTATCTTGGGATTCATTTCCCTTAACATTATCTTATCTGATCCACCTGGTCTTTTCTTATCTCCCTGACTTGACTTGGCTTTTGTGAATCCTTTTACCTGGAATGACTTACCCTTTCTGTTCTTACCTGATGAGCTCCAATTTTTCTTGTCTTTCTTATCTTTCTCCCTCACCCCTACCCTCTCTCTCTCTCTCTCTTTCTCTCTCTGTCTCTCTCTTTCCCTCTCCCTCCCTCTCTCCCCCCTCTCTCTGTGCTAGTGCTGGAGCTTTAACTCAGGGCTGGGTGCTATCCCTTAGCTTTTTTGCTCAAGGCTGGTGCTCTACCACTTGAGCCACAGCTCCATTTCCAGCTGGTTAACTGGAGATAAGAGTCTCGTGTACTTTTATGCCTAGGCTGTCTGCAAACTAGAATCCTCAGATCTCAGCCTTATGAGAAGCTTACAGACATGGAAATTACAGGTGTGAGCCACTGTTGCACAGCTCTTTTTTATTTATTTTCTATTTTTTATATTTTTGCAATACTGGGGTTTGAAGCCAGGGGCTCACATATGTTATGCAGGTACTCCTACCATGGAGCTACACTCTCAGTTCCTATTTCTTCTTCTGGACACTTGATTTGGGATGCCTACTTCTCTTGCCTCAGCAGGGTGTTTCTGGTCAGTGTCACCTAATCATATCCTGCGTATGCCTCTTCATACAACTCCTTTTCATTTTTTGTTTCTGTGTACATTTTTCTCTACTAGGTTGTACTCATGGAGGATAGAAGGAGTCCTATACATCTTCCTAATTCCATGGTCTTCATGGACTTCCTCCAGTGTACAACACATACTAGATATTCAGTAAACATCAGCAATGCCTTCTGCCCACCACAACCTCCCCCAAACTGCTCTTCTCCCTAGATTCCTAAACCACTTTCAACCTGGCAACCTTAGAGTCAATTTCTATTCTTCTATCTTCCTCTCTCTGATAAATGTGCTTCATCAGTCCTCCCTCTGGCTTTCCTTCCTATTTCCTCTGCTGCTGTCCTTATTCTTCCCCCCTCTCCCGATTGACTGTACCTGTGTTCCTGCCTCACTCCCTGGATTTCATCCTCCATTCTACTGTCAGAGTTATTTTTGTCAGAGATAAATCTGATTGTGTCACTTCCCTGCTTAATGATCTTTTCTGGCTTCCCATTGTCTCCAGGAGAAAATCCAAATAGAAGGAATAGTATACAAGGTCCTTGAGGATTCAGTCCTCCTCTACATTCCCAGTTGCCTCTCCTTCCAGGGACCCAGACAAATTTTAGACCGAGCCATACTGAACTCTTGACATGTCTCGTTTTCCTTCTCCTTTCCTTCTGTGTCTGCCTAGTATGGAACTCAGCTCAAGTGCTTTGACAGTTTGAATCCCTCCACAAAATCTGCTGAGAAGCCATCCTGGCAGCTAAATTTTTAGTGCCTTTTTGTATGTGCTTCCTTGGGACCATTCATTACCTCATGCTGGTGTGCTAGTTTATATGTCACTCTCTCCTGGCTGACTCTAAGCTTCCTAAGTGAAGGAGAGGTGCCAGCGTGTTCTGTCTTTGTATATTCAATACCTGGATTCACTACCTGGGACACATTACATACTTGAAGACTGAAATAAATGTTGATGTAAGGAAGCATCTCCTAAACTTCAGCAATGCTGATCACTTTGCATAGTAAAATCTAAGGCCACTAATTAACTATGTGTCAGAAGGCCTGACATAAAGTAAGTGCTCAGTAGATATTGAATTAATGAATGAAGTGCCCCTTCCTGATATCTTAACCCTAAGTGCAGATTATTAGCCCCTGCTGCCAGTCTCCAATAGACTGTACTTCTCTGCTACAATATTTGCTTCACTGCACTATCCATGTGATTGTCTCTGCTACCTCCTTAAGAAGAGATGTTTGCCTGCTCACCTCTATTTCAGGTCCTTAACATACTGTCAGCTATACAAAGGATGCTCAGGAAGCATTTGTTGAATGAATAAATGGATGGATGAGAAGTCAAGACTTATGGGGGTTGAGATAGACCTGGGTGGCTGTCATAGACAGAAACTAGACTTTCTTATGTCCACAAGAGGCAAAAGATTGAGGAAGAACAGTGGCATTAGTTTATCTCAACAGAAGGAAGAATTTTGTTAGCATTATTTAAAAGGGCTTGAAAATGAAATGTGTGGCATGAGGGGGAAGTGAGATCCCTGAAGCTGGAGGGCACTGGGTAGTGATGAAAGGGAGGGTGTTTCAACAATAGCAAGGACAACAGGGGTGGAGTTATAGTTGGGGGTGGGTGGTGACCTAAATAACTATTATCTATGCATGAGGTCACTGCTTTGCCATATACCACACCATTCTTAGCCAGCCTGGCATACTTTGTTGCTCACCTTTGCGGGGGAAGGGTCATCCTACTAATGTCCTTACACTGAATTACTCTCAAGACATCAGACACATAGTAGATACATGGCAACTATTGATTTGTATGACTGTCCAAAGATCTAAAAACCTCTCTTACTCTCTGGCTCAAGGATCTTTGCTAAATGAAGTTAAATTGACTTCAGAGGTTCAGTGTATATCCTAACATTCATTCATGATCTCTAGGCATACAAGGTACTGGGAGAGAGAAACCAGCATGTACCTTTTCTTCTAAAAGTTTAGGTATCAGGATAGATATGAAAACAGCAAGTGCCATACTTGTATTAGATGCTTACTTAGAACAGTGCCGTTAGGTGGTAAGCACTTGCAGAAGGATAAACACTGGCTTCCAAAGATGTCCATGTCTTTGTGTGTATGTGTATGTTTTCATACACAGTGCTAGGGATAGAGCTTGACCGATACTAGGCACAAGATCTACAACTAGCCATGGTGTCCTCATCCCTGGAGTCCATAAATGTTACAAATGTGGTGAAAAGAAGTCTGCATATGGGATTAAGTTAAGGATGCAAAGGTAGAGAATGATTCAGCAATGTCTGGGTAGGCTCGTATGTAATCACCAACAGTCACTGGGAAGGAGGCTAAGGGTGAGAAGGTGGCCATGTGGTAAAAGAAGAGGGAAAGGGAGCAAAGAAGCCATGTTACTGTTTATGAAGGAGGAGAACACAGGCTATGGGAAAGGACCATAGCTGTAGAGACTAGAAAGGCCTTGACCAACAACTTGATTTTAGTTCCCAAAACTTCACTTCAGACTACTGGCCTCCACAACTATATGAGAATACATTTTTTGTGGTTTTAAACCATTAAACTGGTGGTAACTTGTTATAGTTCCTCTTTTCTCTGGGGGGGGGGGTCAGTCATGGGGCTTGAACTCTAGGCCTGGGCACTGTCCCTGAGCTCTTCAGCTCAAGGCTAGCACTCTACTACTTGAGCCACAGCACCACTATATGCTGTTCCAGCATCTACTTTTATAATAAATAGAAACACTTCCTGTAGCAGATCCTTGCTTAGAGCAGACAAATATCTTTAGCATACGTGAATTTTTATAATATAGTGTACCCTGCAAGAGAGCCTGTTTGTTTTTCATAGTTGACAAAAACATGCTACTGTTATCTTAGGAGACATAAATGGAAATTGAAATGCAAATTCAAAATATGTACCTATTACTCCTTGATCTTTTACTTTTTTTTGCTTAATGTACTGAAGTGTAGTGCTAGTCTTTGCTTTCAATTTCAGTTATGAAGAATGCTGTCATTTATGTCATTCCCCAAACTTCCTATGATGCTAAAGGAAAAATAAATACAATTACCATGAAAATTTCATGAAAATGTTGCTCTCTTAAAAGTCATATAATTCTATGTTTATATGACTGTATAAGATGATGCTAAGCGAAATGAACCCCAAGATAGGGACACAAAAGGTTTTTTATTTCTTTGTCTCAGTTGTTTTGTGATTTTTTTGTTTCTTTGGTATGTTCTTCCCCCATGGTATAACCCATATTTTCACTGTATTTTATTCTGGTACCCTGTATCTTGTATATACATTGTGTATACATTTTTCTAATGAATATGGGGAGGGAAAGGGAAATAACAAAATGCTGAAACAAGGATACAGGTTGACCCATTGTAACAATGAGACCTAAAGACACTATGCTGAAAATGAACTTTACAACTTGGGGGTGGGGGAGGTAGGAACTGTGGAGGTAAGAAGGGAAGGGATGGTAGGGGAAAAACAAAGGAGGAGGTAGCAATGCTCGATAGGAAATTTACTCATTACCTTACTTATGTAACTGTAACCCCTCTGTACAGTATCTTTACAAATAAAAAAGTCATATAATACAGTGAAAACAGGGGTTATACCATGGGGAGGAGTTGGGGAGGTAGGGAAGGAAGGGATGGTAGGGGAAAAACAAACGAGGAGGTAACAATGCTCAATAGGAAATGTACTCATTACCTTACTCATGTAACTGTAACCCCTCTGTACAGTATCTTTACAATAAAAAATATAAACTAAAAAAGTCAAAAAATAGATGCTGGAGATTTCAGGAAAAAAAGAAAAAATAGGTGCTGGGAAAAACAACAAAAAGGAGTTGTATTTCTTAGGATACTTAAGATTCTAGAACCTGAAGCAACGATGTTCACCATTTGAAGTCAGTCTGGGCTACACAGGAAGAATCTCTCTCTCTCTCACACACACACTCACACACACACAGTCATACTCCTACTAAATAGACTGAAAAATACATAAAAATAGATGCAAAAATACACAATTCTGCATATTATTGGTTCTTCTCAAAGCTGTAAAGGTCATCAAAATAAGGAAAGCCTGAGAACCTCTTACAGCCAAGGGAAGCCTAAAGGATATGATGATAAAATGTAATATGGCAGCTAGTACTTGAGATGTGTTTGTGGGAGAGCAACGGGAAGGGGGAAAGAATAATGAATCAAGGAGTTGGGGAAGAACTCAGTCATAATATTCAATGCATATCCATGAAACTAGGAAAACTGAGGGGAGGGTGGGATTAGGAGGGACGTAAGAGAATGATGAAAGGGGTGATACTGATCAAGATGCCTTGTACTCATAAACTGGCATGTTGAATGGTAACCCCTTGTATAACTACTTAAACACAATAGAAACACAATTTAAAAAAATGTAATGTGGTATACTGGATGGGATCCCCATCCAGAAAAAAAAAGATATTAGGTAAAAACTAAGACAATTTCAGCAAATTATGGCCTAATTATGGCCTATAAGTAATATTGCTTTTCAGTATTGATTCTTTAACACATGCATCATACTCATGTAAGATGCTAACAACAGAGAAAGCCTTAGGGGCTGGGAATGTGGCTTAGTGGTAAGAGTGCTTTCCTAGCATGCATGAAGCCCTTGGTTTGAATCCTCAGTACCACATAAACAGAAAAAGTCAGAATGTTGTGGCTAAAGTGGTAGAGTGCTAGCCTTGGTTAAAAGAAGCTCAGGGAAGGAGGGAGGGAGACGGAGGGAGGGAGGGAGGGAGAGAGAAAGAGAGAGAGGGGGGAGGGAGAGGGAGAGAAGAGAGAGAGAGAGAGAGAGAGAGAGCACATGTGCACATGAGTGCCCATATAAGCACCCTGTACAAGGTATGTAAGAACTCTACAATGAGTTCAATTTGTAGGTAAATGTAGGAGCCTGCCAGGATTTAGTTGACTTCTAGCTTAGGTACCCAATGCTGGGTGGTCCGACACTATCATTTACATGAATAAAATAAACCCCCAATCTCACTGCCCCCCTTCTCTTGCCTAAAAATTATTTAAACACAAGGGACCATGAATGTTACATTTATCAGCTTTTTTTTGAATTCTGAAGGGTGATATCACAAGGGAAATACTGAATATAGTTCATTAGTAAAAGATTTCAAGAATCTGTTGATTCTAAACTTTCATTTAAATCATAAATGCTTATCAAAGACCTATTATGAGCCATATACTGGGATGATGAAAGAAATTAGTGCAGGAGAACACTGTGAAGTGATGAAACATTTTAGGTGATCAGTAAATAGAAAAGTAAATGATGTTAATAGAATTTATTAAGCAGAGAATATTCTTGATTTAACCTTATACTCCCCCTAATGGCCTCCTGGTTAAAATGCAAAGCTTATATAATAGCCTAGTCTCTAAAATGCTTGATACCCCCTGACTTACCTTCATGAGCACTCTCATTTCTGACTGCTGTGTGCAATCTCCCCCTCATTCTTAGTTCTAACAAATCTGTTAAGGTATTACTACTGATTTCATCAAAAATATTTATTTAGATCCTACTCTGAGAAGAATTAACTAATCTCAGTTTAATAACTCTATTCTCCATTTCCCAAACATTTTGACATTAACTAAGTCACCTGGTGTTACCAGTAACTACCACTGAGTGTTGGAAACACTCACCTGAAGACTGGGAATCAATGTTTTCCACAGATACCTCCTGATCCTTCCCATCTATTCCAAATTTCATACTCATATATACCCTCCCTCATTTTTTTGTAGGTCATGGTGCTTGATGGGCACCATCTCTGAGCTTATTTGCTCAAGGGTAGCATTCTACCATTTTGAGGCACAGTGAAACTTCCAGGGTTTTTTGTGAGTTTAAGCCCCAGTTCTGGCACTGGCGCGTGTGTGCACATATTCACACAGACACACACACACAGAGACACACACACTAAAAAGGGGCAGTGTCTGTGTAACTCAACTGGAAATTTACATAGGTCCCAGCAGGTTTTCTGGAGTGTTTATAAACACATAAGAAGCTAGATCAGGCTTTACAAGCAGAGATTTTCTATGAAGCCATGCTATTTTTTCTTCTCTACCTGCTAAACCTAGGAGAATATATGTCTTAGATTCTCTTTTCATTCTTCAGATTTAAGGAGAAAAGTCATTCTCTTCTCCCAGGGCTTATTCTCTTTGTTTTTAAAAATAAAGCAAACAGGGCTGGGAAGGTGGCTCAGTGGTAGAGCACTTGCCTTACATGCCTGAGGCCCTGGGTTTGATTATCAGCACCACATAAACAAAAAGAAAAAAGCCGGAAGTGTAGCTATGGCTCAAGTGGTAGAGCCATAGCCTTGAGCTGAAGAGCTGAGGGACAACGCCCAAGCCCAGAGTTCAGGCCCCATGACCGGACCCCCCCAAAAAAAATTTAAGCAAACAATAACAAGAGCATGCGGTTTTTAAGACTGTGTAAAACTCATTACTAAAGTATCAGTTCTCTATCACCTAGTGAGGTTTCTCACTTCATTGATTAAGAAATCTGCCAAGTGGATAAAAATAATAACATTCTACTATCTGAACCAGTATATGCTAAAATGTTGTTGTTTTTTATTCAAAAACAAAACAAAAAACTCCCCAAACACAAAGTGCTGTTTGGACTCAAGAGCACCTGAATAAGCTGGCAACAGGAAAACGATGCCCTGGCAGTTATTTGCACAGCTGTTTCCTTTCATTTAGCATACAAAAGTTTTTTAAATCTGTTACCCACAACATGCAATAGGTATGTATGACATACTAAATGGCATGCCATTGTTGAAAAAGATCCAGCAGTTCTCACCAGGGTAGAGTGTTCAACATGTGAACACAAAACTCCAAAAAGACTTTCTCTGCAACCCCAAGTAGCACCAAAGAAAGCTGTTACACATGCCTTTTCTCTTTAGACAGACATCTAACTTGGTGTTGCCACTTTCCTGGGAGACGGTAGCATAAGCCTCCTTCTTGATTCTCTGGCATTTTGTTCAAAATCTATTCTTTCCAATTTACCACTTTATAAAAAATCTGTCTGCCATTTCTAGCAAGAATTAGCTCTAAAATGCACCTCTCTGCTGGGCACTGGTGGCTCTCACCTGTAATACTAGCTACTCAGGAGGCTGAGATCTGAGAATCGAGGATCCAAGCCAGCCTGAGTAGGAAAGTCTTTGAGACTCTCATCTCCAGTTAACCACCAAAAAGCCAGAAGTGGAGCTGTGGCTCAAGTGGTAGAGCACTAGCTTTCAGCAAAATAGCCAAGTGAGAATACAAGGCTCTGAAGCCCCAGTACTGGCACAAAAATAAACAAATAAAATGAACCCTGCTAAGACTCCCTCCATTAATTTCTCCCAACTGCTTAGTTCATATATTTATTTCATTGGTACCATAATTCAAGCTTTTCTCTAATTATTCTAATTTTGTTAATGTTTCTAGGGCATAAATCCCATGAAAACAGGGGAATTTCTAGCAAACTGAAAAGGAATTTATAGAGTGTCTAATCACATCCTTTGCCCTACCCCTTTTGCTGAAGAAACTGAGGGCCCTTGTGGGTCAACCTGTCCAAGTCAGCCAAGTTAACAAATGAACTAGGCATAGAGGTCTTGTGTCCTGATTCTCAATAGTGTGCTTTTCATTTTTACCACATTAGGTTATCTTCCTATTTCACATGCATCTCTTCAGAACACCTTAGGAAGTGCTAGATACACATATGTCTCTCAAAAACGTCAATATGATAAGCAGAGGAGTTTGTATAACTAAGTAATTGAGTCAAGAAAACCATCAGAAATCAGGAAGAGCATTTCCTTACTTACTTGTTTGCATGATGCCACCCTCCGGCCCAGTTAATTGCTACTTTACATATCCCATCAATCAGGCACTGGGCAGCTGTGATTGTAGCCCCTCCTACTGCTGCAGCAAATTCAAATATCCCTTCAGTGGCTGGGCAATTGTAACCTGAAGGCAGAAACAGAGGGCTTGTTAAAGATGACTTGAAGGAGGAGGAGGAATAGGTTGAAGTGCCACAACATGCTCTAGCAAAAGCTACTGCACTGACATCAGTTTCAACTGAGAGAGAAACCTCTGAATGCTGAAGAAGGTTGGAGCTAGAAAAGAATAAACATTCAAGATAAACAAATCATAACCTAGAGATAGTGCAAGCAAAGTGAGAGGTGATGAGGTGATGAATCCTGCTGTGGTTGCACAGAGCCAGGTCTGGACTCTAGATCTCTTGACCTGCTCCCTCAATCCAGTGTCTTACTAAGCCATGTTGTTTCTCAAAATTATCACACTGGTTACTTTTTTCTTCTTTTTTTAAAATAAGTTTTTGGTTGTTTTTTTTTTGGGGGGGGGCCGGTCATGGGGCCTGAACTCTGGTCCTGCGCGCTGTCCCTCAGCTCTTCAGCTCAAGGCTAGCGCTCTACCACTTGAGCCACAGTGCCACTTTCGGCTTTTTTCTTTTTGCTTATGTGGTGCTGAGGAATCAAACCCAGGGCCTCAGGCATGCAAGGCAAGCTCTCTAGACTGAGCCACCTTCCCAGCCCCTTAAATAATTTTTTTATTGTGAAAATACTGTACAGAGGGTTTACAATCATATGAGCAAGGTAATGAGTACATTTCTTATCAAGCATTGTTGCCTCCTCCTTTGTTTTTCTCTTCCCATCCCTTCCCTCCCATCTCCACAACTATATCCCCTTCTATCCACCCCCCCTTCACACTGGTTATTTATGGTTTTTAAAAATGTATTTAAAAGCCAACTGCCGGTAGCTCACACCTGTAACACTTGCTACTTAGGAGGCTAAGATCTGAGGATCATGGTTCAGTTCCAGCCCGGGCAGGAAAGTCTGTGAGACTCTTATCTCTAATAAACTACTCAGAAAATGTTGTTAATGGCACTGTGGCTCAAGTGGTAGAGTGCTAGCCTTGAGCACAAAGAAGCTCAGGGACAGAGCCCAGGCCCCAATTTCAAGCCTCAGGATCAGCAAAAAATTTTTGCTTGTCCTGGGGCTTAAACTCAGGGCCTGAGTGCACTGTCTTTGAGCTTTTTTGCTCAAGCCTAGCACTCTACCACTTCAGCCATAGTTCCACATCTGACTTTTTTTTGTAGTTAACTGGAGATGAGTCTCATACACTTTCCTGCCCAGGCTTGCTTAGAATCTCAATCTTCAGATCTCAGCATCCTGAGTAGCTAGAATTGCAAGTGTGAGTCACTGGTGCTAAGCTTAAAAATGAATTTTAATAAGGAATCAGAAAAGTTAGAGGATGCTACATCAACATATATTCAGCCAGACCAGATCTGAGTACTTTCATTAGGGCTGCATCAACTGAACTGTTTCTTTCTCCATCTGGATCATCATTCAGTTTTGTTTAATTTGCATGCTTTTTCTGGGTAGTGAGTTCTGTGTGGCAAAATCAAGAGATTAAAATGGACTACTGGGAGCATAACTCAGTGGCAGAGTGTATGCCTAATATGTTTGAAACCTTGGGCTCCATCTCCAGCAACACACATATACACATGCACCCCCACACAGAGTGTTAACACATTATTTCTTAATTAAGCATTTAAAGTCATTATAAAAGTTATAAAATATGCAGCAATATAATCCAGATGGGGGCTGTTAAGTCTCCCATCATTGCCTGGGAAAGATGTTACCTAGTCCATATTCTATGGAGTCGGGATGATCCTCGTCCCCTTCTTGGCTGATCTTCTGGAGATGCTGTAGGTAGGCATCAGTGTAAAAGGTGGCCATCTCCTCCATGGAGGCCACTTTGGGCTTCTCTATCCTAATAATAACAGAGACAAAGAGAGGTAAGTGAATAACAGAGACAAAGAGAGGTAAGTGAGTCAGACCCAGAATATTCCAAAGCTGGAGACAGGAGCCAGTAATGTGAGAGGTTAAAATACAACTCCCAGGTCTGGTTCCAGTGAGCTGATGTAATAAACAAATTTGGTTCCTCCCTTGTACTGGACATACTCTACTTTCATATAAAGTATTGACCTCACTAATAATGGGCAAAGGACAGATTTCTTTCTCCTAGTTATAAATAGGCAAAAATAAGTGAGTAATTATATTTAAGTTAAACCAATTGTCAGGAATCAGATAAACCATATTCTATGAGTTGTAATTTTTTTTGAGTTGTAATTTTTATGACAAGCCAGTAAGCAGAGATATCTCCACTTGAATTAATTGCCAAATGGGATATATAACCCTTTCACCCAAGTCTTTATTTTGTTTTACTTATTTATTATGGTTTTGGTGCTGGAAATTGAATATAGGACCTTGCACATGCTAAGCATGTGCTCTACTGCTGAGCTACATCTTGGCTTCTTATATCTTATTTTAAAAGGCAGCCAGGTTATCATGTGTTAGAATTTGGAGTGTATACATTAACTGATCTATACAGTTTTCTCATTGATAAAATAGGGAACTGCATGGGACTTGTGAAGAGTAAATGTGTGTGCCAGCACTGAGATTTGAACTCAAGACTGGGTGCTATTCTTTAGCTTTTTTGCTCAAGGTTGATACTTTACCACATGAGCTATAGCCCTACTTCTGGCTTTTTACTGATTAACACACTTTTCTGTCCAGGCTGGCTTCAAACCGCAATCCTCAGATCTCAGCCTCCTGAGTAGCTATGATTACAGGCCTCTGCCACCAGGGCCCAGCTCACAAACAAATTCTTTGTGGTTAAATATCATCGATATTTGAGGAAACAAATTAGAAAACTCAAGATAAAAAAGTTTCTATACTTGGCCCTTCCCATCTATCTCTGAAAGGAAAAAGCGGGCGGGGGGGGGCAGCGGTGAGGGGATTGAAACTGGGCTTTACTCAGAACCTTTCAACCTACTCCTCATAGGAAGTGACAAATAGGAGCACATAAGAGAATAAAAGGACCTGCCCTAGCGATAGGCCTTAATTCCTCTGACCTCTAGTTGCTTGTTCCCCACTTTTTCTTTGTATCCTCACTGTACCTATGTTCTCCAGCCCTTGCAGCTGAAAGGGGTTGCTAGGGACCAGCAACACCAACATTTCCTGGGAACTTCTTAAGAATGCAGAACTTCAGCCTTACCCCAGACTCAGTGAATCAGAATTAGTATTTAACAGCTGATTTTTTAAGAACAATTCAGCAAAATGAAATTCTGGTTTACTGAACGACTTTGTTTCATATACACATCAAACAGGTCACCCCTCCTGCTCTCCCCCGCCCCTCCCCCCACCCCGCTAAAAAACTCAGCAACTTCATAGACAAAAAAAGGGGAAAAAAGAATCCTTTTTTGTCTTTAGCCTTTTTAACTATCTTATATAAACGAACTACTTTATAGTACAGCTAAGTATATATATACAAAAAAGTTACTGAAATGCTCAGAATAAGATTGTTTTTTATTTACATTTTATATTTTTGTATATATTGTTCCAAATGACCAAAGCAGACTTAAGTGCAGACCTCTGACTATTTGTGGTGTCACCATGTTCATTATAATCTCAAGGGAGAAAAAAACCTCTTACAAAAAGCAAAAACAACAACAAAAAATAACAAGATGATTTCTACAAGATAATATTTCTTAAATTCAAGTTGAAGCAGCGCAGATCCAGACCGCAGAGATGTAGTCATGGTTTCTTAATGTCTGATGAACTGGGGCACGGCCCCAAGTTTTTCACTGAATTAAACTGTCTATAAAGGCTACTAGTAAAACTAAGCTGCTCAGGAGAAATCCTTTGGCCCAGCCAAAAAAATGAATTATTACAGTCAAGACCCAGTGATTCTTATTTCTTCTTCAAGAAAACTTGTCTGTATCATCTATCCATAAAATAAAAAGTTAATAATTTCTCGGACTGTTTCCCAGACCTATTGGCTTTCTCTTATGGTACCTTCCCATGTACTTTGTTAAATGTTAAAGGTTGAAAATACCAACTAAGCTGGGCCCTGGTTGTTCACACCTCTAATCCTAGCTACTCAGGAGGCTGACATCTGAGGGCTGTGGTCCAAAGCTAGCCCAGGCAGCAAAGTTTGTGAGACTCTTACCTCCAATTAATTACCAAAATGCCAGAATTGGAGCTGTGGCTCAAAGTGGTAGAGATCTAGTCTTGGGCACAAAAGATAAGGGACAGTTCCCAAGGCCTGAATTCAAGCACCAGGACTTGCATGCATACACACACACACACACACACACACACACACACACACACACACACACACACACACACACAAAAGATAAGGGACAGTTCCCAAGGCCTAAATTCAAGCACCAGGACTTGCATGCATGCATACACACACACACACACACACCACCACCACCACCACCACCACCACCACCACCACCACCACCACCACCACCACCTAAAAACTATTTAATTTAATAGTGGAGAAGACAGTTGGATTTTCTTTGCTGTTTGCAGTAAAATAATTTCAAACTAGTGTTGCCAAAAATAATTAAAAATTAAACAAAACTTAGTGAGAATGGACACCAATGGCTCACACATGTAATCCTAGCTACTCAGGAAGCTGGGATCTGAGGATCACAATTCAAAGCCAGCCCAGGCAGCAAAGTCTGTAAGACTTTTATCTCCAATAAATTGCCAGAAAACTGGAAGTGGCACTGTGGCTCAAGTGGTAGAGCATTCGCCTTGAGCTGAAGAGCTCAGGGACAATGCCCGGGCCCAGAGTTCAAGTCCCAAAACCGATTTAAAAACTTAGTGAATTGTGTGCATCAGGGTCTCATGTCTGTGATCCTCGCCTCTCAGAAGGCTGTGGTCTGGAAGATTTGAGGCTAGCCTAGCAGAAAATCCATGAGATTCCAACTCCAATTAATCACACAAAAAGCTGGGTGGGAGGTGTGGCTTGAGTGGTAAAACATCAGCCTGGCAAGTATAAGGCCCTAAATTCAAATCTCAGTACTTCCAAAACAAACAACAAAAACCGCCCAAACACGTAAAAAAAATATACAGTTATACTGACTGAACAAGAAGGTTTAATGATGACTGAAGCTGGGTGCTGGTGAATCATACATTTAATCCTAGCTATTCAGAGGAGACTGAAATCTGAAGATTATGGTCCAAAGCCAGCCCAGGGAGGAAAGTCTATGAAACTCTTATGTCCAATTAACCACCAAAAAGCTGGAAGTGGAGGTGTGGCTGAAGAAGTGATAAGAGTGCAAGCCTTGGGCACAAAAAGTTTAGGGACAGAATCTAGGCCCTGAGTTCAAGTTCTAGCACTGGCATAAAAACAAAAAATAAAGAACATGTCTAAAGGAAGTAACACCAAGTGGGGAGTGGTAGAACACTGTTGTAATTCCAACACCTGGAAAGCAGAGTTGCGCTCTAGACCATCCTGGGCTACACAGCAAGACCCTGTCTCAACCCACTCTGTCCATAAAAGTGAGGTACACAAGAAATCATTTGCTTAATTATAAAGATGAAAGATGAAAGCAGAAGATAAGCATACAATACTAGCTGGTGTAGGACACTTATCTATTTGGCCAGAAAATATCATAAGTATTACTTATAAATATGGCAGGTTCATATAGATGCACTTATAGTGACATTAATATAGAATAGGCAATATTTTTACTCTTGGAGTTTGAATTCAAGGCCTTATTTTGCTAGGCAAGTGTTCTTCCACTTGAGCCATATCTCCAATGCAGTCCTTTTTTTGTTTACTTATTTTTCAAATAGGGTCTCACATTTATACCCAGGCTTGTCTATTTATCCCTACCTATTTATGCTGCCTATGTAGCTAGGATGATAGTTATGAGCTACCATGCCTAGATTCATTTGTTTTTTAAGAAGCACTTCATTGGGTCTGGAGTCCTGGAGTCCTGGCTGGCTTCAGCAGTTTGCTTGGGTCTTGACTTTTCTCCAAGCTAGGTCATTAAAGTATGGTGGTGGTAGAAGCATTTCTAAAAATCTTAGGTTGAACCTGTACCCTCAAATCTGGCTTTGAGGAAAAAAATCCCGGCCCCATCAAAAACAAACCCCAAACAAAGTACAAAACAAGAACCGAAGACCTGCAGCATAACTCATCTCAAACTGTCTACCAAAATACCTATCACACCCCGAAATAAAGTCGGATATCTAATGCATCGTAACTCTCTCTGTGTTTTTTTTCAAGTTTCCTTAATTTTTCAAGAGCTTTTCTAAAGTTACAGAAGATTACAAACACTATAAATACTCCGACAAAAAAAGCTTTTTTTTTTTTTAAGGCAACATACTCTCCTTAATTATCCCCAGTGTGAAGTAGGACTGCAAGGCTCTGTTTGGGCTTCTAGCTTTAGGGATGAAAAGCTAGATGCAGAATAACCAACTTACCTCATGTGCTTATGCAGTGCATATGCTTCAATCAGAGAATGGACCATACTGGCCTAAAAAAATACAGCATAAGAAAAAAGAAAGACAGTCTCTTTCATAGTTTAATTCAACGAAATCCAATAAACGTCACCAAGATTGAAGGAGCTATCTACTTTAGCTCGCCTCCCTTTCTTAATGGAATACACTTTAGACGATACAGAGATGAGGAGTCAAAATCGCGTAGATAGTAGCTGCCCGGCGCCTTCCCACGGGAGATGGAGTACTTCTCCTCAGCAGTTTCTCTTTCACAACGTAAGCAATCCCTACCTAAAGAAACTCCATCTCGGCCTAGCCATTCCCCCTTCTCTTCACAGATTCCCTCCCCCAATCTCCCCCACCGGCTTCTGGCACTCACCGAATCCCCCGGGAACGCTTTCTTTTTACATCAGCTTTAGGCTCCGGACACAGCGACTCCAATTTCTGTGGAGGATTTTTAGTCTCCCGCCTTCCTAAAGCCCTCGCGTCTACCCCGACAGACCGCCCTTCATGCACAAAACCCACTCAGGTCTTTCATCCCAATCTCTCTCACCCGCTTGGGAACCTTGGTCAGGGAGTCGCACACGCTGACATACTCCGGACTGTAAATGTAAACAGGGCGCAGCGGCTTCCCACCCTTTCCTTGGGACTGTGGTTTGTCCATCTTCCGCTTCCCACCGCTTCTGAGGCAAGGTCTGGATTCTACTGCCTTCAGACCCAGCCTGAGCTCCGGTTCCTGCTCCCCAGATTGGCCGCAGCGGTGCTCCCCGGTCAACATTCCCTCCTATTCTTGAGACCGCGGGAGACACTGCCCCTGCTCCTCAGCCAATTGTGGCGATGGTTGGGCCTTCTCAGGACAGAAGAACCCGTCTCAGTGACAGCACCTCAAAGAAAGAAGGCTTGGCAGATAAAGGAAAATGCCCAAATAACTGCCAGTTAGGACCGGCTTATTATGACAGAAATAAATACGGTCAAAACTAATCATACCTTGTTGCCCTACGGGGCCATTTGAGATGAAGTCAGGCCAGACTCCGAGCATGCTGGGAAATGTAGTTCTTAACACGTCTGGGTAGCGGAAGAGCTGCGGCTAAACACTAAAATAGCCATACATTTCATTTTAACAACAAAAAACGAGCCTCGACTCTTTATGAATTGCTTCACTATGAAAATATTAGACTTTAAGTATTTAATGACAGATTCAATGTAGCTGTCTACAGCCCCCCACTTCAACTGTTTATCCTGAAGATGGGCATGGGGATCAATGAATGATGTAAATGGTTTGCAAAGTATGCACAGTAAATTCTGTGCAGCAGTTTTAGTTTAACACTTATCATCATTTACTGTGTAAGAGGTGATGAACCACAAGAATTTATTCAGGCAAATCTGATATATTCCCAAGAGACTATGTGATACTGTGAAAATTGCTTGGTAGATTTGAATGAAGCAATGATGCCAAATGTACTCCCTGAATGTTGATATAATAATAGGAAGGATGTAGAATGTGTTCAGTTGTGTTTGGAAATTGTAGTTCTTCCCTCCCTCCTTTATTGTAAAACTAAACAAAGGCTAGGGAAATGTTTCAAGTTTGGTTTGCAGGTCCTGTTAAGAGTATCCTGAGGTAGTTTTAGAATTAAAATCAGCATTTCCAGGTTCTTGGATGCTCACAGGATTTGCTACAAGCTGAACTGACCTACTAGCACCCTCAGAGACAGGCAATATCTGTAACTTCTTTAATGTCTCGCTCACATTTTATTTTTTTTAATTGTGATAGGCCACTGTGGATGTATTTTTTCATGTCATCCTTCCACAGTCCTATGAAGGAGCTTATAATATACCCATTTAACAAATGCAGATTGTAGAGAGACTGCATAAAGTTACACACTTAAGGGAAAAAGCATACAGTGGTCTTAAGAGGATGAACAGGATTTTTCTCTGTGAATATGGGAGCCAGAGGAGAGCATGCTAACTAGAATGAGCACATAAGCAAAAACCGTAGAAAATTTCTCATCTACTTTAGCAGAAGGAACAAAAAATTAAAGAGCTTTAGAACAGACTAATAAAGAAAACAGACTTAATTCTGTGGAAATGGGGAAACATTTAGAGAGATATGTTTTCTGTGTGCTGGTTTTGGGGCTTGAACTCAAGTTCTTGCTTGGCCTTTTGATAGTTGGCACTCTACCACTTGCACCACACATCTAGTTCCTGCTTTTTGCTGGTTAAATGGAAATGGGGTTTTCTGGACTTTTCTGCCTGAGCTGGCTTTGAACCTCAATTTTCACATTTCAGCGCCCTGAGTATCTGGGAATACAAGTGTAAGCCACCAGTGCCCAGCTCATTTAGACAGATTTTGCTGTGTGGTCCTGGAGATCAAGCCCAGTATATTATGCATGGCAGGCAAGTGTGCTACCAAGTGAACCACATTCTGTCCCTTAGAAGTATTTGTGAAAAAATTGTACAGTAATAGTGTGTAGGAAAAAATAGTCATTGAAAGACTAGAGGCTGGGAGTCCCATAACTTCCCAGGTAAGAAGTGATAATTTAAACTTGGGTGATGGCAATGGAAACAGTTTCATAAATCATTGTGTTAAGAAGCTGCATGAGAAATAAATATTGTCCACATAAAAATGAAATCATAAGAGTGTCTGAGAGAGCCAACAGTACATGGCTCTCTCTCCTGCACTGTGTAATAGTCATGTATTACAAACATTTCAAAACCAAACTCATGATTCCCATAGCCAAGTACCTTCCATCCTTTTCCTATCTTTCACAGCTCAATAAAGATACCAATGTCTATCCAGTTGTGTGGGCCAGAAATCTGGGTGTCATTTGTTTACCCTTCTTTTGTCCTACCTGAAAATCCAACCCATCAATTTCCATTATTTATATCTCTAGGATTTGTTTTACATACATTTATTTCTCCCCCTCAGTAGAGTAACTACCCTAGTCTGAGCACTATTATTTTTGGCCTGGACTTTCTTCAATATCCACATGGTCTCTCCTTCTACTCTGGCTGCCTGTACAAACCATTCTCTTTGCAGCTCCAGAGTGAACTTCTAAAAACAAAAAGTGAATTGGATCAAATCATTTAAACTTGCTCTGCACCACAGAATCTTCTACCTACAAAGCGGTAAGTGTTGAAGATTCCTCATTCTGGATATTTGTAATAGGAAAAAGACAAAAGAAAGGAGACAAAAAGGAAACAGTTGAATCAAAATAATTGTACTAAGATTTCCCAGGAATCAGGGGAGGCATTTCAAGGAGGAAGAGCTAACAAAAAAATGTTCACTGATGCTCTATGGGATAGGTGGAACCAGAGGTAGGAGAGGAAGCCAGAATGCAAGGGGTTAAGTAATGAAGCCTTGTATGTAGCTTCCTTATTGAAGGAATGTAATTGTGAAAGGAAGTAGTCTGAGGGATTATCAGAGCCCAGCTTTGCTTTTTAGGACAGAAGAGGACTTCACACACTCATAGATGGGGGGAAAGTGCCTATGGGGCTATAGGAATTGACTGAAATGTGAAATGATGACATATTATCAGTGTAAGTAGGTAATGAGACTTGTTCTGGGCCTTCTGGGATAGGCAGTGTGGAATGAACTGGGCAGGATAAAGAAGACCAATTAGCCGGGCCCCAGTGGCTCACACCTGTAATCCTAGCTACTCAGGAGGCTGAGATATGAGGAGCATGGTTCAAAGCCAGCCTGGGCAAGGAAAGCCTGTGACACTCCTATCTCCAATGAACCACTAGAAAACCGGAAGTGGTGCTGTGGCTCAAGCAGTAGAGCGCTCGCCTTGAGTTGAAGAGCTGAAGGACAGCACCCAGGCCAGAGTTCAAGCCCAATGACCGACAGGAAGGAGGAGGAGGAGGAGGAGGAGGAGGGGGAGGTG